GCTTCCAATCGATCAGCTTTTTAGGACATATGTCGTTAGAATGTCCTGAAGTACATCCTATTTTACGCGACTTATCAGTGTTATGCAACAAAGCAGATCCCGAAGTAGACTTTTTCGAAAACATGCAACATTTGCAAATGCATAGAAGAGCTCGCGCATTGTTGAAATTCTGTAACGTATCTAAGACGTTGACCAAACGGCCAAATCCAAAAACTCTCACGCAATTTATTCTTCCACTTGCTTCAACCTATTTGTGTAATGAAGCTTATTTAAATAAGAACAACATGATAGATGCAGCTATTGAAACGGTTGGTACCGTTTGCAAACTTCTACCTTGGTATCACTATGAAATCATTTTGAAATATTATTTAAATGCGTTAAGAAGAAATGTTCAATTTCAAAAACAAGTCATTCGATTAATTGTGACAATATTGGATTCTTTTCATTACGATCTTTCGAAATACAAATCTTTGGAGCAAATTTCCCAAAAAGAATCGACATTGTCTACCGATGAAAACGAATTGCTGAATGACGTGAAAAACGACGATGAGGAAGAAAATGAAAATGAAAACGAAGAAGACACGGAAGAAAAACTAGATATGGAGTTGAATAATGAAAATATTCCTGATATAGAAGACAACGATGACAAGATACAAGCAGACTTGCCATTATTGGAAAGACAGATAATACTGTCCCAATATGGAGCAAAACGAGTTATATTTAATATATCAAAAAGACTATTACCACAATTATATCGTTCTATCACGGCAAGGACCCATCAAGATAGTACGCACAAGATTAATAAAAAAAAAGTAATAGCCGATACCGAGGAAGAGGATTTAACGAGAGTTCCTATTGCGTTGGCATTAGTTAAGTTATTGCAAAAGCTCCCAGAAGATATTTTGGAGTTCCATCTACCGGGGTAAGTGCATGCCTCTTATTCTTAATAAAATCATGCTAATAAGCACACTTTCCTGATCTCATTATACCTTATTAATTTTGTTTCTTTTTTCTTTTCTTTTATTTTTCTTCATTTTAGTATCTTCATGAAACTTTGTACATTCTTGAAATCTCGCCTAGAATCTGTAAGAAGAGTTACTCGCCAAGTATTACAGAACATAATGATTACTTTAGGACCAAAGTATCTTCATCATCTTTTAAATGAATTAAATAGTCTTTTAACAAAAGGCTTTCAAGTTCACGTTCTCGCGTATACGATACATTCTGTTTTAACTGTTTTGAAGCCACAATTTCAAAAATTTGATATCAATAAAAACTTGCAAAGTATCTTATCGGTAGGTCAAACTTTTTTATAATACGCAAATGTATATTATCAAAAATTAACTTAATTAATGTTTTAATAATATAGGTTTGCGAAATCGATCTCTTCGGATTAACTGCCGAAGAAAAGGAAGTAATTGGTATTACCAAACGTATTACAGAAGCTAAATCAACGAAAAGTTACGACATATTTCATATATTGGCAGAATATATAACAGAATCTTGCCTAATCGATTTGATAATGCCGTTAAAAGATGTTCTTGTAAGAACACATTCGCATAAGATGGTTCAAAAGGTTGTGGAATGTTTCAAAAATGTTTCCCTTGGTTTAGCAGATAATAATTTTATATCGTTGGAACAAATGCTTATATTTTTGTACGGGATCGTATCGGAAAGTATTCCACAATTATTGGCGAAAAAGAAACAAGAACGATTAACGGAAAAACAAGCGGAAGTATTGCAGAGGCAAAAACCAGATTGTTTGTTAATACCTGCAGAACCAAAAAATAGAATGGGAATAAAGGCAGCGTCTAAAACAACATCGAATACGAATTTTCACGTGATGATTGAATTCGGTTTAAAGTTGTATCATATATTTCTAAAAAGAGAGAAAGTATCCGATGTGGAATTCAAGCCATATTTGGAGCCCCTCGTATTGGTTTTAAATAATTGTTTGAAGTCCCAACATGTTAAAGTAAATTTATACATTATATTAATACTTATTGTTACGCATGAATTCAATCAATTTCGATCTTTCTCAATTTTTCTTTTCGTACGTTTCACAGTTGTGCACTCTAACGTTGCAATGCTTAAATTGGATACTCAAGATGGATTTAGTTTCTGTTCGCGAATCAATAAATGACATTTGCTCTACCATTTTCGACATTTTACACAAGTATGCAGCGGCTGGTTTGAGCAAGGGAGATAATTTTGATCTCGTGATGGCAGCATTCAAATGCATGTCAGTACTAGTTCGCGATGTGAAGCATTTTACAATTAGTACTGAACAATTAAAAATTTTACTTTTATACGCCGAACAAGATCTGCACGATAGCGATAAACAAGCAACAGCTTATGGATTGCTCAAAGCTATAATCAAAAGGAAATTAACGGCACCGGAAATGGATGAAATTATGAAAAAAGTAGCTACATTGAGTATCACATCGGAATTGGAACACGTCAGATTACAGTCGCGAACCGTATTTTACTCGTATCTCATGGAATATCCTCTTAAGAATCGTCTCGACGATCACATAGCATTTTATTTATTTCAATTGGAATACGAAATGCAATACGGCCGTATTAGTGCGTTAGAAATGATTCATAGCATTATTACAGGATTTCCATTGGTAATTTTTTTCATTTTTCTTTTTTTTTTTTTTTTTTTTTTTTTTTTTTTTTTATATTTTATAATTAGTGATAGTCTCGTATAGTTTTAATTTACATATATATTATTTGCAAATTTGTTCTTTTAGAAATCGCTTATTAAATATGCAGGACTTATATTTGTGAATACCGGTGCCCGATTGGTAAACGATGACGATCCGGTATGTCGAAAACTTTGTGCAAAATGCATTAAAGAAATGTTAATACGACTACCTCACAACGAGAAAGATAAACTTTTTGATATAGTGTTTACCTGGTTGAAAGACTCGCAGGTATTTTTTTCATGAAATCCCAATCTAATCATAAAAAGAATGTTTACATATTTTTTTTCAAGCAAATATTTTAAAACAACAAAAGAAAAAATAAAATAATTGTTTTTCCTTTAGATAATTCATCGACGTTTAGCTGCGCAATTATGTGGTTTATTTGTTGTTGTTGAAAAGGGGAAATTTGAGTCACGTCTGACAAATATTTTACCTGTTTTATCGCAGCAATTTTACGATAACATTTATCAATTTAAACAATTTAAACCCGGTTATTTCGTAAGATTACATTCCGAAAAAGAAAAGAATAAAAAGTTTTCAAAAAATTGCAATATAAAGGATCCAGAACGATTAAAGGATCATCACTTGTATCTGGTATTACAATTATTATTAAAATTGTCGGCTTACTGCCCAGGATTTCTAAAAAATAAAAAATACGATAAAGAAATATCTTCTTTCGCTGGTTGGTTAATAATTGATTATTTTAAAATGAATTCTATACGTACATAATTAATTTTGCTCGGCGGTACATAATTAATTTTGTTTTTATTTAGAGAACAGTCAATCTTTGTTGGCACATTCACATCTGTGGGTTCGTTTAGGAGCCACGCAGCTGATCGGTTTTGTACTCTCTGTTCTCGATGTGAACAAAATTACAGAAATTTTACAAAATCCCGATGAACATTCTACAGTAGAAAATTATATTTATTCTAATCCTATCGATACGTTAAAAAGTTTATCTTTGGATTTAATTGCACAACTACAACCAGATATGACGTTTGAAGAATTATCGGACCAAGTAATTAAAAACTTGATTTTCATTGGAAAGATTTTGAAATCAATTAAGAATTCAGACGACGATAACGACAAAGACCATAATAAGGACAAAGGTGACAATATTTTATCTCTTAATTGGCTGATGAGAAGATTGAGAAAAAGTGTGAATATAGAAATAATTCAAGCACCTAAATCGATATCGGTGGTAAGTAGCTGATTTAATGAAAATATTGCCAAATTTTGATAGTCTTTCTTTGTTACGAATACATAAATGCATTATTATCAGAGAAGTGCAGTATTCAAATGGATCGCCGGTATAGTGGCTACTATACCAATCGGAGAATTGAATTCAATTCTTTTTAATTTAATGTCTCCGTTGGTAAGAGAAATGTCAACGATCGAAGAATCGAATGCTCCTTTGCGTCAATTGGCAAAGGAGGTAGCTACAACGATTAAAAAACAAATAGGTGCCGAAGAATATGCGAGATTACTTAGTAACGTTCAACAAAAGCTCGATAGTAAGAAAACAGAACGGCGAAAGATACGGAAACAACAGGTAAATTAACTTTGATAAATAGAATGTCGTTAGACTTTGCTAAAGCGTAATTTTTTCTATCAAACGTGTATTTAATTACAGTTTGTGACGGACCCGGAATTAGCGGCGAAACGTAAAATTGCGAGACAGCAAAAAAAGAAAGAAAGTAAAAAGCGAAAGTTAGATAACGCAAGAGGTAAAAATGTATCCAGGAAACGGTCGAAAAAAGAAATTAATTTAGATAATTTTTAATTATAACGAAAGTATTTTGTACATATATATATGTAACATGTTTATTTAAAGTAGTAAATATATTTGGTAAAAATTTTTAAATACTATTTTCCAACTTACTGTAGACGAGTTTATAATAACAGGGATGTAATTTTTATCTTATCTAGTAATAGTCGGAATTTTCGTAATATTCTTATCGGTCAGCCACGTGGATGTATTGAACTACGAACTTTATTGAAACACGTCCATATACTCCCTTTCTCGTGATTCTTTCCGTTCAATTAAGTATTCAACTACACTTTAATTATCACTAATTTGTGATTCCGTATCCCAAGTCTTTAATTATGTATTTATTGCAATTGACAGTTATTTGAAAGAAATGAAAATGACGCTGACCTTCAGAATTAGACACAATCATAAACTAACTTTGTGTCGTAAGTTTATCGGGGTTTAAAAAGCAACGCATTTCAACGCCTACGCTAGAAATGGTTACATGCCGTGTGTCTGCGTGTATCCATATACATTCGTCGAAGTACGGCCAATTAAGAAACTTCTTGTAGCTCCGACATCCATTATAGTTTCGGGCAAAGAGCCAAGTACTTGATTTGAGTAACCTGTTAACTTTTTGTCAAAGCGTGATATAATTAATAGAACGTTTATTATTGGTGTGTACTTATTTAATAGGAATATTCATTAATCTTAGATTAATTTAAATAGATTTAGTAGATTTTTTCAAGTAGAGTTGTCAAAATGTACATCAGTGTATTATTATGGACAATAACAATTTTGTTAATAATTTTTGAATATATGCAACGATGGAATCAGAAGAAATATCCACCAGGTATAAATATTAATGATTAATATTATAATAACTGTATAAGATTGTAGTTGTATTAATTGATCGTGTGATCGAATCTATCGTATTCGAAGCTCGCTTTCGCATAACATCTATCCTATATAATATAATATTAGAAAAATATTCTATATGTTTATGTTACGTAAATGTAAGCCAATGAATTTTTAGGACCGTTTTCTTGGCCGTTAATCGGTAATCAATCTATTTTGAAAGGATTTGTTCGTAAGCATGGTAGTCAACACGTGGCATTTTGGAAGCTTGCTCAAAAATACAAAAGCGATGTAATAATGTTGGATCTAGGTATGCGTAATATCGTAGTAGTAGTTTCTGGCGCAAAGACTGTCCACAAATTACTACGTAACCATAACTTTGATGGTCGGCCTTGGAACGAATTTATTAAGTTACGTAATATGGGAATACGAAAAGGTACAACTATATTAACTATCTACGTAACGTAGATACGATGTATTAAGTGTACATACGAATAAATAAATATAATTGATTATATTTATCTTATAAATTACAATACGTAGGAATTACAATGAACGATGGAGATGAATGGAAAGAGATTCGATCGTGGGTAGTACGAATGCTAAAAACCCTTGGATATGGCAAACAAGAGATGTCAAAGCTCATCCAGGATGAAATAGTAACAATTGTAGAAAGTCTAAAGAATGGTGGTATATATCGATTGAAGCCGATTATCACACCTGCTGTCCTAAACGTTCTTTGGACTTTCACAACGGGAAAACGAATCTCTGATTTCGAAAAGTTTGTATTCGTATGCTTCGTTTAAACATTTGAAATATTATATTTCGAGATGTAGGAAAATATGTTTCTATATTTTTACGCACACGTATAGATTGCAATATTTTATCGGACTGATGGAACGTCGTTCTCGTACCTTTGACTTAGCTGGAGGAATTCTGTCTACTTTTCCTTGGATTCGTTACATTGCACCAGAAATTTCGGGTTACAATCTTCTCATCAATGTCAATAATGAATTGAAGCACATACTAACGGTATGTTGGAACAGTATCTTCGTCGAAGCCAATTTGTCAAACGATCCTAACGATTTTCTCCAATTTGTTTGTTATTTAGAATACGATAAACGATCACAAAGAGAATTATGTACCTGGCAAAGAGAATGATTTGATCGATATGTTCCTTCGTGAGATGTACAATGAGAAAGAATCTAATCGCAATTTTACAGGTGAAACTAACTCATTCCTTTCCTATCGACGTTTATCGAACTAATAATTATTTTCCTAGATGATCAGTTGCTATTGATACTGGTGGATCTCTTTATTGCCGGCATCAATACCACTGCAACTACCTTGGATTTCCTTCTTTTGCACATGGTCGTTTATCAAGACGTACAAAAGAAAGTCAAGGAAGAAATATCATCAAAGATAGGGTTGACCGAGTTTCCAAAGTTAGAAGATAAGTCCAAGTAGGTATTTAATTGATTATACGATGGTGCATGGTTCGTGGTGCATGGAATAGTGTCTAGAATGAAAAAGCCAAAATTCTTTATTGTCGCAGGCTCGATTATGTAGAGGCTGTTATTACCGAGGCTCAACGTATTTGCGGAATAATTCCATTAGCTGGGCCACGACGAGTTTTTGAAGATACGATTTTCGAAGATTATACGATACCAAAGAATGCCTCTATTCTCATAAATCAATACAGTGTCCATATGGATCCAGATATATATCCGAATCCGCACGAATTTAAACCAGAACGTTTCCTAAAGGATGGCACTTTTAAAATGGATCCGAATTTGACTCTTTTCGGCAAGGGTAACAACTACAAATTTATTTCTGACCTTGCAGTTTACCTTTTATAGCTGCCCATTGCACATGCACCGTTGTAACGCTGCTAAATTAGTTGACTTTATTTTTTAGGAAACAGACGATGCCCTGGCGAGAAATTAGCAAAATCCGCTATTTTTCTTCTGTTCGTTGGTATTATGCAAAAGTACACGCTACTTCCTATACAAGATAAAGGACCTTACGTCATCGAAATAATTCCAGGATTAACACTATCCCCAAAACCTTACGAAGTACTAGTTGTACCGCAATGACTATATAATCTTTATCTTATAATAACTGACTTATTATAGGATTTATATAAGAATTTTTCTTATTCTACTATAAAATAATTTCTTATAGTTAATTTTTAGTAATTATCTATGATATATTTATTTGTACATAAAATTAATTCAATTCGTATTTTTAAATGATATATAGGAAACGGAGGGTTTTATTCACTGGGTACTCTTCAATTTTTCTTTCTTGCTGTAAAAACGACTGTTTCTGAAATGACTAATAATAATAATAATTATTATTAGATTTATTTGAAATAGACATATATGTTAAACTCAATCGCAAGATCAAGCAATCTGTATAAGTTAAACGACGCCACATTTGTTTGCCGTACAACGCTGACTCTCGGAAGAAAATTTTCGTTAGAATACGGTTTGTTGTTTCAACAGCGTAAAAATCGTTTTACGCTTTCGAGGAAATCAAGCTATTTCGCAGAAGTCCAAATCTATCACCAGTGGCATGTGCCACGTGGCGTGCATTTCCCTACTTTATATCGGATCTCATCGAGAGCTTAAGGTAGTACGGTTTCGGTGATACAGTGAAACTATCGTAACCATTCGGATCCGGTATGCCATGGGCAGGTGAGATATCAAAGTCGAAATAATATATAAAGTAAACGAAATATAAGAAATATGTTGAACGAGCAAGTAATTCTCCAAGACAACGTCTCTTTCCTAAAAATGATGCAACAGAATATGATTAGATAACGAATGAAAATCATAAATATAGTTTTCAATGAGAAATCACCTAATCCGAAAGGTATGTTCCAATTGTTTTGACGAAATTGACCGTTCTCGTCGAGAAAACGCTGAGGTCGAAATTCTTCCGGATGATCCCAGTAAATTGGATCATTGTTAACGCTGAAAAAGTCGTAGAGTATCAACGTATTCTAAAAATAAAGAAACATCTTTTAAACGTCCTAGCTTATATGATGACATTTTTCAAATTAGCGAAATCTGACCTTAGGTATGCGATATCCATTAAATTCAACGTCAACAATGGTTCTGTGTGGTACCCCAAAAGGTGCCATGACCAAGTATCTTTGTGCCTGCGTTAATAATTACATAATATAAATACTTGACAACTTTCCTGATCTTATTAACAACGATAGGACGAAGTGTACCTCTGCTAAAAAGGCTTCTATCATTGGTAAAGCGGAAGAATCTTCGATTGTCGGTGCTCGTGTTCTACCGGTTTGCTTGTCCAATTCCTCTTTAAGCGGCTTTACCCATTGAGGATTCAACGATAAAAATAATATGGTAATAGCCAACATGTCGCTCGTTGTTTGGGTTCCGGCAAGCAAAAGATCCAGACAGAGGATCATTAAATTCTCCCCTAAGAATTATTTTTCTTTTCAAAAGAATCAAGAGAATAAAAGAAATATTTCGTAACGCGACGACTTACGGTCGAACACTTCATCGGAATTGTTTTCTTTTCGAGATGCTATTTCCATTAAAAAAGCTTCGATCAAATCTTGCGGCTCTTTTCTATCCGTCAAATCTAACTCGTGTTTGGTAATCTCGTCGTCGATGAACTTCCATTGCATTCTCAAAATTCTCATAGTTTCGTCGTAATTGCACCATTTCGGCGCGATGAAACGTAGAAACGGCATATGAGATAAGAGTCCACCCATAGTATCCGCTATCCTATATTTTACAAATCTTATAATTAGCATCTCATTTATATCTCGAATAATACTTGACAAAATATCTTAGCACCTGAAAGAAGCATGAACACTTTCTAATATTTCAGTGGACTTTTCATCGTCGTATTCGAATCTACATCCGGTCAACATCGTCCATAATGCATTAATTACAGCTACGTCAAAGGCGTTGTCCATCTGTACTGGCCCGTTTTTGCATTGCTTTCGTAAATTCTCTACGAGATATTGAACTTCTGTAGTCAATCTCGTGGCCATAATCGATTTACCGAAGCCAAATGATCGAAGATGACGCATCGTGAATCTTCGACATTGAGACCATGTTTGACCTTCGGTGAACAGCACTCCTTTCTTTTTACCAAAAGAACGGACTTTGAAGAAAAATGACTCTGGGCGACCATTAAATTCGTCTCGAAGCATAGCCTCTTTCACTAAATCATAAGTCGAGATAATAACAACTTTTTGCCATCCCAATTTCAATCCTAAAATCGGCCCGTACAATTTCTCCAATTGTTTAACCGCCAAATGCGTAAATCCGTGTTTGGATTGTAATCGTTTGAAAGTCACTAAACATCCTATTATCGGTAACCAAAAAGGACCTGCCAAAATGTATAAATTCTTCTTATTTTATTTCCATGTTGTATCACCGTACGACAGAGAGATACGGAAAAAAAAGACTTTTGCACGAGTATTATCGCTTTGAAATTTGTCTTTGATACACTTTTACTGTTAATGACACTTTTTTCTTATTCTTAAATTAGAACACGTTTAATTGATTCAACGTACCTGGTGGAAAATATTTTGGCTTAAGGCAATCGTAGATACAGTAGAGGCAAAAAATCGTGAAAATAAGAAAGACCGTCGTCAACAACATCTTTGTTCGCACTGATGCCGTCTTAATCCCTTGACGATCTATATATACACAAATGTCAAAAGACGTACTACATTATGCCTATCTATACAAAGTATAAAAACAAATTTATGGCTAAGATGTTATCAACGTAATCCTCGTGACCTAAGACGAATATAGTCTCTCTCTCTCTCTCGTAACGGAAAAATTGTAATAAAACAAATTTGATTTATTCATATTTGTTAAATTTTAACAGCAAATGAGAATGGATTTTTACTTTTTCTAAACGCTTAGCAAATTATAATCTGTTATATTTTAAATATAGATTTATCTCCATCGAGGTAAAAATAAATGGGCGTGTCGGTGAGCGTAGACACACGCATAGAATCAATAGAACGATAACTTTAATACATCTTTAATCATTATTCACTTTTTTTTAATCTTTCTGTCACATCGTTTTTTTTTTTCTTTTTTTTTAAATTACCAAACGAAACGTTTATATATGAAAGAAATATTTAACGTGTGTTGCATATATTTACAAATACTTTCTAATGATTTGAGTTTTCGATTAGAGTATAAGTGTATAGAGAGAAAAAAAAAAAGACAATTTTCTGAAGAGGACAGTCTAAACGCGCATAAAAAAAGTTTAACCCTTTGCTCTCAAAGCTTTTTTCGTTCGGGCGAATTAGCAACTCGAATAATAGGTCATTCTATTTCGTAGAATACCCGGCTTATGGTATTGTGTATGCTCAATACACATGCCTAAATAAACATCGTTATCCCTCGAATTATCGTGTTAAGTTGAACGATGATCGAGGATTACCTCTCCAATGCAAAGGGTTAATAATCTAATAATTCAGTAAAGTGTAGCACGACAAAAAACTGAATAAGTTCCATTTAAGTTGCGTGCACGAGTTCCATGTGTGTGTGTGTTTTTTTCTTATTATTTCTTTGTAATACAGAGTAGATCTTGTAACGGATCGATAAGGAAAGCCGACGAAAGTGAAAAGTAAACGTTTACAGTATTAGCTGTTTTCTCTTTTTGCTTTTCGATCGGTACATCGCGATCGACAGAACTCGGTCTTTTGTGTGTCTCTCTCTCTCTTTCTTTCTCTCTTTCTCTCTCGGTCATAGACTCGTCTACTTGACCAACGATTAAACTTTAGAAACGGATGGTTCTATGTCAGCATTTCATTTATACAATCGTCGGAGAGAAGAGGAGTGTGGGCGCCGAACACTTTCACCGAGAATACGGACATCGGTATAACGCTACTGCGATACTTTCACTCAAATGACAAAGGCACGAGTGCATATCCGTGGGGGCGTTGCATCATATAAACACACAGAGAGTGCATCGGTAAAAAGAATCAAAAAGATAGATAGAATCTTAACAAAATGTTTAATAAACTTTTTATTTGTAACATCATTAATTAACAAAAAGAAATAAAGAAAAACGAAAACTGGTAAAAAAGGAAAAAAAACGAACGATAAGAGCGATGAAATTCCCTGAAGCGTATAACAACAAGAGGAAGACTTGGTACCTCAACGGGATATCCTCAACTTAGGTTAAACTTACTAAGGTAATATATACAAGGACTTATGTTACAATACTATTACAGCAAAATGTTTGTACAGGTATCGAGTCGACGCTTTCGCATCAGTCCCTTCGACGCGAATTAACGAGTGCGAAAGGTAATGTTGGAAGACGCGCCGTTTTGATTGGACGTTGGAACCGGCGGAGGTAGCAAGCTTTCCGCCAATGAGGACGTTCTACCCCCTTGGATGGAGGGGCTCCATCTAACTTGGTTTGTTTCGACTAGCTGTTGCTGATTCCCTTTATTTTGATTTCCTGCAAACTGGGGATTTAGCGGGATCACTTGCGAGTTCTGTTCCCGATCGTCCTTTCGATCGGACCATCCCTGATGATGATGATGAGGATGGTGGTGATCCTCGCTGGGGAACCACTCCGATATCCATACCGGTTTCCAAATCTTCTTCCACGCGGGTACCCAAATCTCTTTCCAAGCCGGCACCCAAATCTGCTTCCACGCTTCCTTCCAAGCTAATTTTTTGTCTGGAATCCATTCGAGCTTTTTCTCCGTTTTCCAAATCTGTTTCCAAGCTTCCTTCCACTCCAACTTCTTGTCCGGCACCCAAATCAACTTTTTGTCTGGCTTCCATATCTGTTTCCATTCTTCTTTCCACGCCAACTTCTTGTCTTCAACCCAGATTTGTTTCTTAGCAGGTCGCCAGATCTGCTTCCACGCTTCCTTCCACTCGAGTTTCTTATCCGGTATCCATATTTGTTTCTTTGCCGGTTTCCAATATTTTTTCCATACCGGCTTCCAGATCAGTTTTTTCTTCCACAAATCGTGACTGGTATATTCCCAGCCGTGATGGTCCTTACCGTGATAATGTTCACCCGGTATACCAATTTTTACCCATTCCGGTATCCAAAGTTTCTTCCAAGCCGGCACTTGAATTTCTTTCCAACCTGGCACTTGTATTTCCTTCCACACGGGTTTCCAAATTTTCTTCCACTCGGGTACTTGAATTTCTTTCCAAGCTGGAACTTTGATAGGTACCCATATTGGTTTCCAGATTTTTTTCCACGCAGGTACCTGAATTTCTTTCCACACTGGCACCTGTATCTCTTTCCAGACAGGCTTCCAAATTTTTTTCCACGCCGGTACTTGAATTTCCTTCCAAACGGCCTTCTTAGTCGGCTCCCAAACAGGCTTCCAAATCTTTTTCCACGCAGGTTTCCAAATTTGTTTTTGAGCCGGTTTCCATATTTTCTTCCAGCCTACTTTCCAAGTCAATTTCTTTTTCCAATAACCATGATCATGATGATCATCGTGATGATCGTCGTGATGCTCTTGCGCGTGGTGCTCTTCTATGGCTCCACCAAGGTTATCGCCACCACCTCCGAAACCTCCACCGTAATCTCCAACACCTAAACTACTACCGTAGTCTCCTCCGGCATCTCCGTTCCAATCGGCCAATCGTTTTTCAGCCGCTGTACCGTACCTGCGCGTGTGTGTGCATGTATCAACATTTATCGATATTAATAATACTACCAATAATAATAATAACAATAATTGTGTGTTCATTTATTCGTTCTTGTTCTAGATACGCGAGAAAGTATAGAAATACACGTACGGAACTTGCTGCGGTTGCTGTTGCTGTTGCACTTGTAGTTGTATTTGCTGTATTTGCTCCAAAGCCTTGCCCGCCACAAGAAAGATTTGCAGTAGCACTACTAGTGCAGTCTGAAAACGTTGCAATTACAAGAAAATTATAGAATTTCACCGTGAGACATCGATCTATCCACTTCAATGGCATTCGTCATTCCATTATAATTTACAGGGAAACTTTCAGATTCGAGAATAAGTAAATACCTAATTTATATTGCTTTCAGTTTTGTCTGAATTAAAATCGTCGCAGAGATAACATAAATTCTTGTTGGTTCTATGTCACAGCTTTGGCTTCTTCAGCTGTAAAGGAGTATCGAACTCTAAAGAACGCTAAAGAACTTTCGAAATTCACTGGCGCACGATAATCAATGAGAACCGATCGATCGAGCATAATTCTTTGCGTAAAATCGGCTTTCGCTCTTTAGCACACTTGGGGAAAAATTGATTCCACTAAAATGACTTGAAGGAATTTCAATCATTCTTAACTGGGCTCGCCGAATTTCAGGTACAAACATAAACGTTTTATTATTTTGAATCTACTTGACAATATATTGAAACTAGACGGCTTCTGATTAGTCACTACTACTTACTCAGGTATCCCTTTTCAAGTCCATCGGACAGAGAAAGATAAAAATCACAGAAATATGAGGCAAAGGAAGAAGTTAGATAATATAAAATATATAATAAAGAAGAAAGAATGAATTCCAACTGACCGCGCATCCCGGGCGAATCCTCATATTTGTTGGAGTGCCGCCCGTTGGACTCGGGCTACACGTTCTCTTCTTCCCTAGGCGCTGGAAAACGTGGTTTACTTCGTTCAATCAGTGGAACGCCGTAGTTATATAGGCGCGTATCCTCCCTTGGGGACAGAAGGAAGGAGCCAAAGCGGAAAGTTGTGGCGATTGGAAACGCGGTGGGGCTGCTGGTTAAGTAAGCTGGAGGTAGAGGTGGACTTGACTGGGTGGAGAAAAAGATATTCACTGTGTCCTGGACACAGCGAATATACCTGATTCCGCAAGTGTACCTGACTCTGCCCATGTTTGTGTTGATCGTCGTCGCGGTAGTCGAACTCTCCCTCCTTTTGCTTTTTTCTTTTCTCTTCGTTCACCTGCTTTCAATTTTTTTTTAATCTATCCATTTGTTTTTTCTGTATTCCTTCTTTTTTCCTTCCTTCCTTCCTTTCTTCCTCTCCGCTCCGCTTGCCCTCATCAGGCAAGCAGGCCATCGGTCGGAGAAAGTGATCGAGCGTACGATCCAATCTTAACGGGCCATGTATATCAACTTCTTCGCTTCTTTGATCACGGACAAGTACCCATTGTACTTTCGACCATGACGAAGTTCACGGAGCAAGGTTATACGCCAAGGCTATACTACCTCTTGATCCAGATTCTTATCCGAGAATTACTGACTTCTAGGAGAACGTGCGATATTCGATAGTTATCTCGATTAATTTTCGAATTATAATTTTGTATTTATTCATAAGGTATTGTTTCAAAATGCTATTCCAAAAACGGTCACTGTCCTTTTCACTTTCCTTTTCCTATAGGTCAAGTTTATTGCTTACTGAGAAAACATAAATGACTTCGGATGCGCATGCGTGCGTGCGTGCGTGCGTAGTCGCGAAGCAATCATTGTTAGAAAAATGGAAAGTAAGGAAGAAACAAAAATGCAATTGTCTCGTCCAAAAACGGAACAACGTATCAATAGATGGCTATACCGGTTTCATCAATTGCCACGATTACGTGGTCGCTCCAGATTTCCAAAGGTAGATACGCGAGAGCAATCGGCATACCGAGAAACGTTTCACCATGACCCATATCGAAACTTCCGGAAACTTTAAAATAAGAATTATTCAAATAGATTTGCGTTTACAATCTACCACGACTTTTTTACTAGAAGAAATATGTACGTCAGCCCATCCAGGTAATGCGTAGGCGAACGGATTTCGCTTTCCATTATTTCATTGCGCAAAAATACGATTATTGATTTTCTATTTTATTTTATTTTTAGAACACCAGCGATTTATCTAATATTTGAAAAATGTCGAAGGTGCGACAACAGTAAATAGAGATAGATATATGTATATGTATTTTAGAAATTTCAAATTGAGGGGTCTGTTTGACGTAGGATTCAGCCTAGGACCTACGATTAACTTTCGAAATCTCTCTTTTTCGGTCCCTTTTGAAATATCCGTAATATAATACACGCTCTCGAAACTTGTCTTCTTTGATATTTGGGTCGTGTCGAAGGGAAAAGGGAAATACTCGTAATTCATTTCTTACGAAAGTAAAGCGAGTTCGTAACACAGTCGAAAGACTACTATAATCTGGTTCACTACCATAAACACGAAGAATAACGTGTTGGCTAATCGATGGGATAGCTTGTATTCGTTGTTAAATATCCATTCGAGACACGTCCCGATCGAGAATCCTTCCCGTGGTGCAAACGATTAGGTGCAAACGATTAGGCGCGAACGGTAACATCGCGTTACGTTATCGATTACAATTTCTACATACCGAACTAGATTTTATCTTAGTAATACTTCATAATTATTTATCTAGATGTGTAATTTGAAGGATCGTTAGTGCACCGTTATATCATTTCTCGTGTGGAGTTAGGCCGATTCCGTTCTGGCATTTGGCCTCGGCAAAATGCTCGAACGCGACGGTAAATAGAGATTATGGCTACGCGTGTATTCGGGCCCGTGTAAAGTCGAACATCCGGTCGTTTCGGCGTAGAAAGAAGAAGAGTTGTTCAGTGAAAGTAACAAGAGCAAGTGGCCAATTGATGTAAGAGTCCGCTGCTGCTATTGAACCATGGGTGTTTTATTGTTGCGTACCAACACCGTTCGTGGCTCTATATTCGCATTACGTACATTCTAATTATTTACGTAGCAGAAAAAAACTATTCTGCATCGAAATTTTGTCCGAAATGGAAAGAGTTAAAACGTACAAACGTTTTCCTATTTTCTCTGATTCATTCGAAATTAGCATTGAACGTGCTAATATTTAAATTATCTGTCATTAACTTTCCTCATTATAACAACTTTATGAAGCCGAACGCATTCTCAAGAATAGTAGTGGAAGTTATTAACGTAGAATGTACTATTTACGAAAAGAATTGTTACCAAGTATAAGCATTGCCATAACTTAAAAGATATGGTATGCAACTAGTAGCATATACTACAATATATATGTGTGTAGAGGTTGGAAAAATAGTACATTTTTCCGTGTCATTCTTTTTATTTACGTTTTCTCGTTTTTGTTTCATACATATAAATAAAGAAATTTCCCACGTAGAAGACGGTTCGTTGCTCTTCTACTTCAACCTTCGCTCCTTTGCTCCTGTCCACGGGAAAGTCGCAAATGGGAAAGGTATATAAATACATATACACGTATAATTCTGATTGAATCGCAAAGCCGTATTCCAAAAGGAGTACGCAGAGACACGACATGGCAATCTGAAAAAAAAAACAAACGTGACGAGCAGGTTTTCGACCTTTTTAAGATACCAATGGTACACACGCGCTTCCGCTATATGTAACGAGCGAGAGTCGCTTACATATACTATACATACTGGTATTTATTGTAAGTAGAAACCGGTATAAAGATGCACCGATACGTTCTTTCCTAGTATCACATCTCGAAAGTGAAATTTATTAAGATCTACGATCGTTGAGATGCGACCTATCAAGTGAAATCTTCGCATAGATATGTCTAATAAATGTTGACGATTAATGCACATATAACTTTTTACATGATCCTACTTCGTTCCCCCCAAAAATTGATACATCAATTTTTCTAATTATTAATCATGTGAATTTTGATATTTTTCGCCAAGTTAAAAATTGAGAACCGCTGTAGGGAAAAAAAAAAAGAAAAACCGGATGGAAGAGATCAGAGGGACAAAGAACCGAGGAAAGGAAAGAAACGTGCGCACATGCTCGTCGTCGTCTCTTTGGCCTGTATATATTTACGTGAAAGTGGCCTTGCCAGTCTCGACTTACTTTATGAGGACAATACTTGACTATTCGCGTACTGCATAACCTACGACAATTGGCCAACATCGAAAATGGCGCTCTTCAAATGTATTTAATATTGATACTTGTTACTTCAGAGACCGATTTCCAAAAGCTTAGCAATAGATCACCGTGACAAACGGTGGTAGCATCAAAGTTCTGCCCATAAATTCATGCACGTTTCACTTTCTATTGAGTAATACGGGCATTCGTATAAGTATTCGTGGTCTATGGCATATCGCACATAAACTATTAACGACTTTCGATAACAGAAAACAAAAGTTTTCGTAAACAATTGCGTTTTTTAAGAATCAACTACGTAATTTGTTAGACTAATCGACTAAAAATACGTTAAAGTGTTAATTACCGAATAATTATTCACTTATTTCAAATTCTATAGAGATAGCATAATTGGATTTGATAAGAAGAGTAGAAAAACTTTGACAAATGTACGACCACACTATTCTTAACTATAGAAAGTCATATAAAGAAAGATCTTGAGAAAGTATATGTAGTGGTGGTAAGAGTTGGAGCAATAATAGTAAACGCAGTGGGGGAAACAGCTTTTAAATTTGCTCTACGAGCGATCCCAAGTGTCATACTTTTGCGATATTCGAAGGAACGCCGTTACTCGATACCGAAATACGATCTTGGAAATATTCGTTAAATATTTATAGATATTTTGACGGTAGATCGTTCACGCTATGCTTATTTTTCTCTATTTATTATCCACACCACAGGTACACGCGCAATCCCTCGAAACGTCGATTCACTTTGCATGCAGATATAAGACGTGTCGTTATTTTCGGCATCGCAAATTGATTTAAATCATATTCTCGCTAGTAAATCATATTGAAATACATCCAAGTAGTAAGTAATATAGACATTCATAAATCAACTTGTATTTTCTATTGTATGATTTATGTATCTTCAAGTTACTTTCTACCAGATAGATAAAATCTCATCATCGTCCACTGTAAAGACGAATACAATAAAATCAAGTAGATAAACTTTTAACAAAGTTGATAATTAACTACACACAATTTGTAAATAAAAAAAGGGAGAGGGAAGAAGAATAAGTTTGAATAAAACAGAAAGTTGTAAAAGAATTCATAGCGGATTGATGGTCTTTCTCGTTTTTTCCGTAATTAATAACAATTAGGAAAAGATAAGAGAAACGTTGTCGTACATCTAGTTATATTAGGTATTATATTTGCTTATCTACCGTACATTTAATTCATTCATTAGGAATGATGACAACACGATCAATCACATTTTTAGTCGAATCGAAAGCGCCGTTCACTTTCTTCGGTGCGTTTACGCAAACGTATTCGTTTGCGTTCGTTGGTTTTTATCGCAACACGAAAGAAGATTAAGAAGATGAACCGGTCGTGCTACTTCCGTTCTCACAACGACTTCCCCATTCTCTCCTGGTAGATATTTTCTTTCTTAATCATCCCACACTCGTTCAAACACGATCATGGAGAAAGTAAAGGTCGTGAGTTCGTCTCGCGACCCTGGTAGCCTTCTCAACATCTACATGTATGCTTCTTTTCCCCATCCCACGATATCCTTAGAAAGCATCTTCCTCATGGTAATCCTTCTCCGTCATCTAAAAAACTGTACTTTCATCGACTAAACGCACAAAAGCGACTACCGATTAGGTTACAAACTTCAATCGATTTATTTGATTTCTCTTTCTTCATCGTCTATAGATCGAATAATTAAAATCTTGACATTCAATTAATTGTCGATTTGAAATCTATCGATTGGGGATATCAATCAATTGAACACGTGTTAGAAAAGAATATTTATTATAATAAAGTAGATGCAAAAAAAACGTACAAAAAGTATCGATGCGCGTGCAATAATCTAATCTTCTTATTTACAAGGGACAGGGACTTGTGATTTCTTCGGCACCTACAAAATAATGAAATCGCAATAATACGAGCCAAAAATATTCTTTGTCCTCCTTATTTCGATGCGATGGCTGAAACACAATACTTTATATTCAACTCGATAGGACAATCCCAAAGGATTATCGTCGAGCTTAAAGTTATCGATTTATACTTCAAACACGTTCTACGAATTTGAAGACAACTCTCTACCAAGTAGTTTACTTAGATCTTCAAGCGACTATGTTAAAGTTATACATTATTTATAGCCATGGTGGCCTTCGTCGTGATGGGATTCTATTTGTACCCAAACTTTCTCCCAAACGGGCTTCCAAACCTTTTTCCAGGCTGGTACCTGTACGTCCTTCCAAACCGGTACCCATTTGCTTTTCCATTCGTCCTTCCATACCTGTTTCTTTTGCGTGACCCAAATCTGTTGTTTTTTAGGTATCCAAACTTGTACGGACTCTTCCTTCCATACAAGTTTCTTATCCGTTATCCAAACTTGTTTCTTTTCGGTCTTCCAAATTTGCTTCCATTCGGCTTTCCATTCAAGCTTCTTGTCCGTAACCCAAACTTGTTTCTTCTCCGTCCTCCAAATTTTCTTCCAGACCGGCTTCCAAATGAGCTTCTTTTTCCAGAGATCGTGACTGGTATACTGCCAACCGTGTTGATCCTTACCAACGTATTGTTCACCAGGAATACCAATCTTTACCCATTCTGGTACCCAAATTTTCTTCCAGTCTGGCACTTGAACCTCCTTCCAAATTGGTACTTGAATCTCTTTCCAAATAGGCTTCCAAACCTTTTTCCAAGCCGGTACCTGGATCTCCTTCCAAATAGGCACTTGGATTTCCTTCCAAACGGGCTTTTGTACCTTTTTCCAAGCTGGTACTTGAATTTCCTTCCATTCT